CTCGGTTTTTGGCTCTCAAAATGCTGAAGTGCTGAAGTTCTCAAGTGACCAAGAGCTGGAAATGAGCTGAGGAGAGTCCCTTTTAAAGTAGCTCATGGGCGGAGCTAACAAGGTGGAGAAGGTGGGGGACATATGCCTTTCTCATGCGCATAGGGTATGGGGAGAATCTTGGACTTGTTGGACTGACTTCACCACGTTTTAGGAGCATCTTGCAGAGTATAAAATGATGGGGAAGTGGCCTGGTCGAGCTCCCATGAAGTGGGGGACAAGAGCCTTACACATGTGAATAAAATATTCCATGCACATGTCTCACATTTGGACTCACTTGCAATGCTTTAGGCTTAAACTTCATTAGGGCTAATTAGAATTAATTAAACCCTCATTAACCTGCTAAAATTCGCATGACTTGGGCCATGGGAATTGGGCCACGAAACAATCCACATTGGGCCAAAGGATTGGACCCGCGCGCTGCCCACGCTGGCCCTGGGCGCTGCTGGCCCTGGGCGCGGCGCGGTACTGGGCCTGGGCACGTGAGGCCTGCTGGGCGCGGGACAGCTTGGCTGCGCGTGCTAATAGACTTGGGCCGAGAATACCACATGCTTAGGGCTGGAATAAAACTCTCCATACTTAGAAAAATTCCAAAAGGTGTTTGGCCATGACTTGGGCCACCATGCTTGGCTCGCGCGAGGCTAGGGTGCGGCACTATGGCGCGACTCATGGCCCGGGCTTGGAAATGCTTGGCCGAGGATAGCCCTTGGTTAGGGCTGAACTCGTGGTTCGTCTAGGGAACGAAAACACTTAGAAAAATTATGCCACATTACTAACCATGACTTGGGCACTCGCGGCTTGGCGAGGCACGCGACAGTTGGGCGCGAGGACTCGGACCCGTGCACGAGCTCGGTGCGGGGTTACTTAGGCCGAGGGAATGATATCGAAGGCTCGATAAAAATGATCTCATACTTAGAAAATATTCTAAGTAAGGTTATGAGCATGGCTAGGGCTCGAACAAGACTCGAGACTACTAAGGCTCGAGAATTGGCTAGGCGCGAACTAGGCGCGATACTCGCGACCAAACGACTCAGTTCCGGACACGGCTAGACTTAGACGATTTATCGAAACATACTCGGTTTTGATTATCCGTCAACTGAAATAATTTAATTCCGACTGAATAAAATCCATTTCTAAAATAAATGGACCGGAATTAATAACTGGGATTGAATAGCTGATAACTGGGTTCGGAACTCAAGACGAGCAGTATTAATAAAAAGAAATAGTTCAACTTGGAACTAAAAACTGTCATTTTTATTAATACAGAACTGGGCTATTACAATTTTAAGTGTGAACATGTGCCACAGGATGTTCAACATCAGTTCCCATTGCCGTACAATAATCATTAAATGCTTGAGATGTAAACTCTTCAACATTGTCAAGTCTGACTCTTTTGATAATATAATCTGGGAATTGAGCCCTTAATTTAATAAGTTGGGCAAGTAATTTAGCAAATGTCACATTTCTAGTGGATAACAAACTCACGTGAGACCATCTACTAGAGGCATCGATTAGCACCATAAAATATTTGAATGGACCACAAGGTGGATGAATAGGTCAACATATATCACCATGAATCCTTTCCAAAATAATGGTGATTCATGTCCGACTTTAGTATGTGATGGTCTCATTATCAATTTCCCTTGAGAACATGAGGCACATGTCAATTCATGTGTTTTCAATATCCTCTGATTTTTTAATGGATGCCCACTAGAATTTTCAATAATTCTTCGCATCATTACCGAGCCAGGATGACCAAGTCGATCATGCCAAAGTTTAAACATTTTATTCGTCTTTGAATTTGTTGCAGCATAAGCCTCGATCATATTAATCTGGGTGTAATATAAACCCGAGGATAGAGCGGGTAACCTTTCCAAAACACATTTATTTCCCGCATTGTTTGAGGTAATGCAAAGATATTCAACTCTCCCTTTATTCATTGTTTCAACGTGGTATCCGTTCATTCAGATATCTTTAAAACTCAACAAGTTTCTTGTTGATTTTGGGGAGAATAATGCATCATTCACTGTAAATTTTGTACCTTCCATCATAAAAAAATATGGCCTTGCCAGAACCCTCAATTATCTTTGCACTTCCGATATGGTGTTTACTTTTGCTTTATTTAATATCAAGTTGACGAAATATTTTCTGTCCTTGAGTATAGTATGAGTAGTGGCACAATCTGCAATACATATATCTCCATTTTGGATTCGAGACCGATCCATGATCTAAAAGAAAACAACATTTATTATTGATTAAATTCGAAATACAGATAAAAGTAGTCCACACACAAATACAACAAAACTTAGGAAGCAAAAAAAAAAACATGATCATCAGTTATTCTCTTGGTCATTTCCATCTCTGTCTTCAAACACTGCATCGGCAAAATCCAGTTTCAATATGTCATCGATGCCATAGTCATCATCCACACGTGTTGCATCATTTTCAGAGGATTCCCCAACCATAAAATTGGTTTCTATATTCTTATCTTTTGATTTCTAGGAATCGTTATAATTATCAACAACGTGTCTCGGAGCACGACAATTTCGTGCCCAATGCCCCTTCCTTCCACATCGATAACATGCCTTTTCATCATTATTCTCTGTCACATTGTTCTGTTCAAATTTTGGCTGGAAATTTCTCCCCCTTTCATAGTTACGGCCTCGTCCACGATTGTATTCTCGGCCCGAGTTATACCCTCGGTGAAATCTGTGGCCTCGGCCGGATTGGCGATCCGGACCATATCCACGACCACGTCCACGACCACGGCCACGTCCTGAGGTATATCCACGCACATGTGATTGGTTGTTTTTATTTCCAGTTCCCTGTTTAGATATTACAGTATTTATTTCAGGGACCGCAGTAGACCCCGTAGGTTTAGATTCATGGTTTTTCATCAACAGCTCATTATTTTGTTCAGCTAGCAACAAGCAAGAAATCAACTCAGAATATTTCACAAAGCCTTTTGCTCTGTATTGTTGCTGCAAAAGTACATTTGAAGCGTGAAATGTGGACAACGTTTTTTCCAGCATATCGTAATCAGTTATGTTTTCCCCACATAATTTCAATACCGAGCAAATGCGAAACATTGCTGAATTGTACTCATTTACAGTTTTGAAATCTTGGAAGCGTAAGTGCATCCATTCATAACGAGCCTGGGGGTCATCCAAAGCCCGGTCGGGCGGGTCGGTCTTCAGATCATCCGGCGGGCATCGAGCGGTTGCTGTTGCAGCCATCGTGGTTGCCGTCGTAGCCATAGGGTTTCCTATTTTTATTTGAAATATTTAAAGAATCTCAGAAAATCTCGCTGCCAAGAATCTCAATGGAGCAATTATCCACCCTTTTAAACGAGAGTATAGGGAGAAGATTTATATTTTCTCTTTTTTCTTTTCTTTTCTTTGATATTGTATTAATAAGATAAAACATTTATTATAGAGACTAACACTCCTCAGGAAGATTATAACTCTTCATAAAAGAGACTATAGTCTCCCACACAACTGACGATAATTAGATCCAATTGAACAAACTGCACTTAAAAATCAATACGACACGAATTACTTGAATTCTTCATCTGAGGGTACTCACAAACTGCATTCTCAATTATCTCAACATACAAACTGCATTCCCAATTATCTTTTATAAACTAAAAGACAATCTACCGTGTATTTCCATTAGCTGGAGCATCTTATTTATTGCCAAATTATCGATCATCTAACCGAACTTCCATTTCGTGTTCCAAATTTATTTTCAAGTAAGCTTCGAAGGTAACAATCATCAGAAAGCATTTAATGTTGAAGGTCATATGTTATCACTCATCACTTTTCAAACAATCATCAAAATGCGTATAGTGCAGCTGAAGGTCAAAGGTTATCACTTTTCATCACAGCCAAAAAAAGTTCAGGCAAACCATATAGTCGAACATTGAGGTGAAGTTTTTTAGATGTTTAAAATTATAGACCCTACAAGACATTGAAATCCATTGAATAGTTTCGTCTTCGGTATTAATTAACTTCACCTTTTCTTTCTCATTTAGTCCTCAAGTGCTCGTAAATCATACGAAAATAATTTTCATCTATATTCCTGTCAGGGGCATAGCCAGAATTTTTTTTAACACTAGGCTGTAAAATATGTTACTATTATTCGGATCGAGTTGATCTCTAACTTAGTTTGATTTGACTTGTAAAAGTCTGCGCTTGTTTATTTAAACAAGACAAAATCGAGCAACTAATCGAGCTTGTCTTTCAAACAAGTCGAGTTGAGCGTATTTACGATAATTCAGTTAAAGTTTTGGGTTTTGTGGAGGTTTTAACGTTTACCAAATGAATAGAACTGAGTTTATACGAGTCCAACCAAAGCTCAAATTTTTATTTGTTTATTAAACAGATAAGCAACGATAACTTAATTATTAAATGATTACTAGCTCGAACTTCAAATACTCGATTCAAAAGATCTAGCTAGACAAATGTTTAAAGAAGTCAAAGTATGAAAATAATTTTTATATTTAATATAAATTACCTTAATCACATAGTAAATTTAAATACTATTATACTTTCTGACTAGCTATATTTTATATGGAGTGACTCTCCTTGAACGAAAACTTGAAATTTTTTAACTAGTCTCTTATATATATAACAAATATTTATTTTTAATTGTTTCAACATTTTTTCTTTAAAAATGTAAAAAGATAAATTTTCTCGTTTACTTGAATTTTAATTAAAAACAACATAATTTATTCTTGAATTTGTCAGATAAATAATTAAAATTTAGTAGTAAATTTCATATAATCAACTATCATTTATTTAAAATTCAGTGAGTATATAAAGTTGATTGTAAAATCTATAAATTCAATTATATACTAAATAATTTAATAAAAGTCTAGCACAATCAAATATTGTCTTGAATATAATTATTCAAATAAAATCTATTTGATCACACAATAGAAAATAAACACGAAAATAACATAAAAGAGGCATAATAATCTAAAAGGAAAAGTGGAAAGAATCTCAAATCATGTTCAAATATATAATCTATTGATTTAATGTAAACAAATTTAACTTATTTTGGGCCAAAATAAGATTAATACTGGGCTAATATAATTTAACATGGGCTAAAATACTATTTTACCAGTATACAATTAACGAAGCCAGAAAATTAAGACCGGGGTGGAGCCCACCCCAGCCTTTGGGGTGGCTCCGCCACTGATTCCTGTGGCAAACGGTAGCCACTCATGACTATTTTGTCGGCAATCATCTTGCCCGTCTTAGGCATGACATGCCAATGCAGTGTTAAGTTAAAGTCTTTGCCCCTTAGATTGCTTCCCTACAACACATAATATACATAGATATAAAATAATAACGGTTATATAAAAATTGGCTAAAAACTAAAGAGACAAAAGTACATGCGAAGAACAACTCACTTGATCAATAAAACGATACTTGTTAGTCGTGTGAATCCAGAACTTAGCGTGTTCTTTGGAAGGTATAATACCATCCCACAAAGATACCTACGAAGACAAATTAAATAAAGTTTAACAAAGATGCAAGTAAGATGTCGGGGGAACATGTCTTTTCAAATTAAACATGTAATAAATAAATTTGTTTACTGCAACACGTCATCGCATGCCGTTAAAAAGAAGGAATATAAAGTTCAGTTACTGTATTACGCATGGGTTTGGCACTTTACTTCTTTAATCTCATAGCAAAATTTAGGGGAAAAGAGATCCTAGAACCAAATCCTGTTGTAATACATGGGAATTAGACTTAAGCAAGAAATAAATAAGCAAACAAGCAAGAATGAACACTCTTGTACATAAATTTGAGGATCAAGTGAAGAATAAACACTGTTCTGCCACCACACTAAGATTATTTCCTAGTGTGTTATTTATGTATTCTTCTGCACTTGCATGAAGAAAGAAAATTAGTTTTGTCCCAGAGGTTTAAACTCATTAATTGCATGGTTTATTTCACATATGTTACCCAGGACATACAAGTATTAATTGAGTTAACCTTTTATTGCAACATATAAAAAGGTTGCTTATATACCAAATGACTTGATAAGGGTTCTAAATTTGTATTCCACACAAATTATCCACTCAGCTCCTATTTTTATATCTATAAACACTATGATCTTCTATTATCAGACTTAATTTTGTTCGGCATTATACTGAATTTGGCCGAAGTTGGAACAGGATAGAGTGGGAACTAGTGGCAGCTGCTCCTAAATCTTTAAGTTGCCTCCTATTTCACTAAAAGATTGATGTTAATAAATATATCACGTGATGGATATTACAGGAGATCTAGCAAGCATATGATTTAACTTAATGAAAATCTTCCTGCAAAATGGAAAAGCTACATAATTAACCTCCACTTGTAAGTTATCAAAGATCATATGATGTGCAGAAAACTAACATTGGCATAAAAAAAAGGAAGAAGGGGGAGGAGAGAGAGAGAGAAAGAGAGAGAGAGAGAGAGAGAGAGAGAGAAAGAGAGAGAGAGGGAGAGGGAGAGGGAGAGGGAGAGGGAGAGGGATCGTAAACATCAAACTAATGACAACCCAAGGAACTAACACATACAAACTCTAATGCTGAAAATAATTAAGATAACTATACATGCATAATCTATAACACACAGATCATATATTATAAAAATAGCTTGAGATTGACTCGCATATTAGCGTACCTGATTAAGCACATTTGTAGAAGTTTCATATTCAGCAGCCAAAAATACAAAGACCTGAAATTCAAAGAAATTGGTTGCCACATCCAAATGAGCTTTGATGGCAATAAGAAGCTTGAAATTTAGAGATAAAGCCAACTATATCTATAGAAACAAGAGAGGGCACTTAATATTTTTCATCTCTCTGCTCACCTACATATTTGACCCCACAAATAAGTACGTACATCCTTCAGGTACTAGTTGAAGTACAGGAAGCTATAGCAAAATTTGGCTATCCTCAAGGTTTTGTTAAACAGACTCGTTTAATTATAATCCATCAGTGATCAATCATCAATTTAATAGCAAACATAAAGGGTTTTGACAGCTTTGCACAAGATAATAATGTAATGATGATGATTGCATCTTAAACTCGGCTACCAACAACCAAATTCAACCTTCTGGACTCATGTAAACTACAAAATTTAAAAGCAAAACCAACAAAATCCACAAATAAATATAAAAATTATCAGTCAAACATAAATCACCAAAAGCAAAGCGAAGATATCTACGGGATAAAAATGAGTATTCTGTGAAGGACAAACCTGCTTTGTATTCCACGTAAATAGCGAATCTAAGTTTGCTGATATGTTCAATGTCAAGCTCACCTGCATATTGTAAATACCCTCATTAAAACACCATGCCAATCACCTTATATTTACTGTTTCTTATAAGGGCCACAAGAAGTTGGAAGCTCAATAGCTAACTTGGTATAATAATGTTCACATCACCATGGGAAATAAATAAAAAAAACATTTGTTCAAAGGGATTTCAAATTGATACCAAGCTTAGACTTCTAGTTATCATCCTAGAATAGAAAAGGAGAAAATGGGAAGAGGAAAGCCAAAGGAACATAGAGTGGAAGAGAACGAATAACTTCTTATAGCGTGAATAGGATGAAATGAATGAATTACCTCGTCATCACCATCCGGTTTCTTCTGGAACCAATTAATGTTCAACACCTAAAACCCATAATCGAGGCCTCAGCATCAATTAAAATCATATTGGGTTAAACAAACACTAAACCACACCAGAACTATCTAAATATCTGTATTTTAATAGGAATAAGAGTTTACTTGGACTTGTGAGGTGGGAGATGACGTATTGAAGTTGTCGGAGAAAGAGGCCATGGCACACATCAGTGCGAGAATAGTGATGGCGAAGGTGAACAAGGCATTGGCTCTGTACCCGAACGAATGCATTGTTGTGCCCTGAAAAAATACCCACAACCACAAACATAATACACTTTACAACTCCTTACACAACAAGAAAAAAAATTAATCAATGTTCAGCAATTCAGTCAGCAACCAAAACATAAGAGTCACAGTTAGCACTGTCAAGGGGGCTGGGGCTGGGGCCGGAGCCGAGTCACAACCGAGTGGCCTTAAATGGGCCACAGAGGTCCTAGCCCATTTTATATCAGAATGCCTAACCAGAAAATCATTTTTCTTATAATAAACCAGCAAAAATATCGGATATTAACAATTTTTTTTCCAGTGTTACTAGTAAACTTTTAAAAGACAGACTGTTAAGACCAGTAACAAATTCTTAAAAGTATATAGGGAATCATGTCTACACATACGAGAAAAATAAATAAATCATCAAGAACCAAAGGATGCAAACCCTTGGGAACGAGAAAACAAGAGAACATAACTAAACAAAATTACAAGGAAAAAGAACATACACACAACATAGAGAACAACCAGTTAAATTCATAAGTGATAAAACTCAAAATGATCTTATTTTTCTTCTTACGTCTTTTGTGGTTCCAAAGACAACTAACCACACTTGCCAAAAGATGGTCCATAAAACCAAACCCACCAAAAAAACACACCAACAGGAACCCAAAATCCAATCTTTATCCCATGTTTTCCACCTTCAATCGAAAACCAAACGGGATTAAACCTAATCTTCCAATCAAAGTATCATGTCCAACAAACCACGTGCCTCACAACGCACAAATAACAAAAATATCCACCATTCCCAACGTCCCCCATTTTCTCCTCTTCCAACCATAACCAGCCCAATCCAGACCTTGTCCGAATCCATTCCAACTCCGTTTGCGTCATAATTTGCCCCAGCCCCAACCCTAACGGCTCAAGTAGGGACACTAGAGCATGACCTTGCCGGATTTTCCGATCCAAAATCGCTTTCTCTTGTTTGCGGTGCAGATAATTGATCTCTAACTGAAAAACCCAACCATGTCTGAGAGAGAAATAACTGGTGCGGATTGAAGGAAATCAAATAGTTCCAATTAGAATGTGGAGAAAAGAGGGATCTGAAAAAAAGACGAAAGGAATTTCTGCATTGTTGCACTACAAACTCGGATATGTTTTCCCCGAGACAGTATAAAGTAGATGCGCGAACTGAATTTTTGAAAGATTTTCAAGAAAATGATATTTGGAGAAATTTCAACTTCATCACGATATACAAGGGTTTATGGCCCAAATTAGTCCGTATAACTCCAAACAAGAACATTAGTGTCAATTGCAAGTGTTAGGGAGGAGGTTAAAGTACCTTGGAATGTGAAAGATGTTGGAGCAAGTGAACGAGGGAAAGAAGCGCCGGAGGTCGACCTTAACCGTGCCTATGAATAAGAAGATGGTCGACGGACATATCGTGTAAAAAGTCTTGAGAAAGATTATAAAAGATTTGCGGAAAATATAAAATTAGCATTCCATAGCTAAGAACATTTATAAAACAACTTTAGCAATAAAAATCAAATAATGGGACTGGAACTGAATATCAATCCACAGGGCACACCAATTAAAGGAAGCTCAGCACATCTCCCAAGAAATTGTAATTTACGCACAAAAAAAAAGGGAAGGTCGTGGGCCTAGAGAATTACAGCGATTAAGGATGTTAGAGCATTTCCAATGGCACAGTGTCTATTTTGATATGTATGTTGTGAGGAAAAGAAATAAAAATAGTTTGTCTCTAATGGTGAATGTCAATTGTAGAACAAATTGGCATGTGTAAGATAATAATTAGTTGATGGAGAAAGATATATAAAATAAATTTGCGATTTACCTATGTATTCTGAACCGTGTATTAGGATTTTGTCCTCGTGGAGTTTAATGATAATCTTTCTATCGTTTTGGAAAAAAAAACAAAACAACAAGTTGAGCGGAGTTGACGAACAACTTTTTACATTTAACAACCCTAATTATGCGTAATAAATTTTAGGTTGCATTATCTATTGAATTGAATGAAATCAATTTTTTTACTTACAAATTTTAGGTGAGGCAATTTAACCATTAGACGGAAATCTATATATTATTTAAATAAATACATATATTTATACTATTAAGAATAATATTTTTATTTATATTATTTTATGAAATTTTATATTTTTAATAAAAAAATATATGTATGTTAGAAAAATATGTCAGATATAATAATTAGGTCGGTCATTACACAAGCAACCTTCTTTACTTGTTTAGCATGTTTTTAGCTGGATAATAATTTAGCTGAGTAGAAAATAAATTTAAATTTAGCAGACAAATTATAATTTAAATATTGAGTTCAAAACTCGTGTAATTTGTCAACCCTTTTCCCTTTTCTTTTATTTATTCTTCAAATTTTAAACAATTATAGTAAGCAAGTGTTAAAATTCGTGATCATACTAAACAACACAATTACCCGTACTTTTGTTAGTTGTCTTGTGTAAGCAGTTTCAGTTTGATTTGTTTGTCCAAGATAAGCCGGTCTAAGTTCAAGATTAATGAACTAATTAGTTTGCATGTGGCGCAATTAAACTTGTTAATTTTAGTAATATTTTAATAAATAAAATTAAAACTATTAGTTTAGTAATATTATGCTTCCTCGTGTGTATTTTTCTTTTAACAAATATGTTGTCAAGTATATTTTTGATATCTGATATAAATAACTCATCTTGCAAATCCTCCCTATTCTCTTTATTGTTTTTGTTTTTTTAACAAGAAATTTTGAAAATTGTCTCACAAATTGATACATTGACAAAAACTGTTGTAGGATCCATATTGTCTTAAAAAAAATAAAAAAAATGCACTTATACTATAAAATGTCATATTCTTATTTAGTTTTATATTATAATTTAAAATATGATATTATACTATAAATGTCATACTCTTATTTAGTTTTATATTGTAATTTAAAATATGATATTTGAGTGTGAAATTGTATACTTTAGCCTCGTTTACTAGAGAGGATAGGATAGGATAAAGCCCCTTAATCAACATTGTCATATGTTTACTAGAAAAGATTGGGATAGAGATAATACACATGGGGCTTGCGGGTCCCACGCCTTAAATGCACGCGTGGCCGGACAAATTCATCCCAGCAAATTGGGCGGATTTTTTTATCCCGCTTTCAAAATGACCAATCTGTCCAAAAATTCCACCTGAAAAGTCCATATTACCCTTTGATGTCCATTTTATTACACAATTAGGCATATATAATGATGAACCTGCCATTCTCGTCTTCTGCGAACGAGAAACCCTAAGCTCTCCCTCTCCTGCTGTTGAAGCTCAGGTTCGTTCTCGTCTTCGTTTTTTTTTTTCTTTTTTGCTCCCTATTAATCGTTCTTCTCAGATTCAATCTTGTTGAAGTTTTGGAGGCTAACTCTTCCGCATTGTAAGTACCAATTTTTCTTCAATTTTTTTTTCTTTTCGCACTATTTACGAACAGTTTTAAAATTTTTTTTGTTTATGCTATGTACGTTTCACACTCGTTCAATTTCGCTAGGTTTTCCTGAAACTATGGAGCCCTAATTCTCCCCCACTGTAAGGATTGTTCTCCTCTTTAAAATTTATATTATTTTTTTTATTGTTTTGGCCAATATCTCGAATTGTTGAGTCAATTGGTTTTTATGCTACTTATGTTTCAAGTGCAGCTGTCGTCTGATTCTATTCTACTTTTTTGGCATATTTTTATGGAAATCTTGAAAAAAAATTGTATTTTGTTGTCGTGTCTGTATTTTTCTTGCCGTTTTGATTAGTTGTAATTCTTGTATTGTTGTTGTTGTGGCGGTTTCTTTGCTTGTATTGCACCTCTAGGTTCAGATCCCTTAATATTTTGGCCGTAGAGGATGATGTGTAAGCATTTGGTTAAGCCATGTACTATATTTGTTTCAATCGAATCTGCCTGTCTAATCGAACAACGAAATGAGTTTTAATTCAAAGAAAATGCCCTTAAATTTTGAATATCCTACTCGGTTCAGGAATTGTAGTTGAAAGTGTGTTCTTTGTGTTTTGGAGTGATATATAATTTGGTGGAAGACGAGGACAATCTTGCTTGACTTAAAGTTGAACTGTGGCCAACAATATTTGTTCCATGGTTGTTGTGGTGGGGGGATTTTTTTTTATGCTTTATTTTAGCTGAAGTTTAACTCCCACATTAGTTCCTTTTTTGACTTTCATTCTTCTGCTTCTTAAATCTATTTTTTCACATATACTGAGCGTTGGTATAATCTTGTATTGTATTGTCCTGTGTGAACAAATTTGAAAATGTTTTCATTGTACTCTAATAACTTATGATATTAAGCCTTAACTGTAGTTGTTTATATTTCATCACTTGTGTATCATTTAGTACTCATTTGATTAATTTATTAGTTTTTTGTGTGTACTTGGAATGTGGTGCGCCTCTTATTGCAGGTGTTAACATTTATCAACGTTCTCGGCTCTCTTTTTCCTCCTTCTCTGCTCAAATCGCAACTGGTATGTATATAGGTACTCCTCTGTCATAACACATTTTTTCATTACAGATTGCTTGGTCATATTTTCTGTTTTAAACGTTGGATCTTTATTTGATTTTTCATTTAACTCATTTATCTTTGTTACAAAATTTCCTTCAATGTTAGAGTATACGTGATTGCCTTTATTGAATGCATTCATTTGATTAACAGTAAAGGAAGAGGTAAATATAATTTATATCGCACTGAAGTTGGATAAATGTAAGACTTATAATTGGGTTGAGTTGGCTTTTGTATGCACAGTTTGTCAAAAAATATAGTTAACAAATGCTATCAGTTAAAATAAACAGGTTTGGTTTTAAAATCTGTAAACTCCCATGTCTTAACTCATTTGTTCTTTATAGATGAAGCTATTTTCTTTTGTTAAGCCTTTAATGATCCGGCTTCTAAGAATATTGTGCTGCTCAGTGTGTTAGTTCATGTAACTTCGTGTGTTAGTTCTGTTCAGTGTGATCAAATTTTGTTGTTTATTCTACAGTTTTGGCACTATTATCCGAAGCTGGGTCATTTTTAGCTAAGAGTATACGTGATTCTTACACGTTTCCTTTCCTATTATGAGCATCTTGTGTGTATGTTTGAGGGTGTTTTGTCTTGAATGTGATATGCTTAGTTATTGTACAGAAACACGAAGCAAAATATCATGCTAATCTATCCTAGCCCATTTTCCATCAGACTAGGAAACTCCTAGTTTGTGGCCCACCCGTGTAGGCCTGTGGGTCGAATAGTAAGCCCAGTTTATACATGATGCAATGCATGAAAAGAAAATCAATTTTCTAATAATAAATCATCAAAAATATCGGATATTAACAATTTTTTTTTTTCATTGTTACTAGTAAACTATTAAAAGACAAACTGTTAAGACCAGTAACAAATTCATAAAAGTATATAGGGAATCGTGTCTACACAAAAATTATACCTTGTAAGTCTACTGAAATTATCTGGATTTTTGGAAAATTCTCTCTAAGGGGAGCAAAAATTCTCTTTAAGGGGTGCTTGAATTCTCTTTGAGGGGAGGCCTTCGATTCTCTTGGGGAAGAGATTGATTCCATCGAGGGTTGGTAAAGTTGTCTCATTATTTTTCGCTTGCAAAAATTAGGGTTGAGTACGAGATATGGAATTTGATGTTTCTGGAGAATCGAGTGCATTTCATGATCCCGATGATTTAGGGTGTCGATTGCAAAATATAGAACTCTCTAAATCGAAAAACAAGATAATTTCTCTCAAGGATGATGATATTAAAATCAGTACATCAGAGTGCAAAATCGAGCTTGTTCGGGAAAATCATAGGTGATCGCAGGGCAAGCCTTATTGGTATCAGGAGGACTATGGGGTCAATATGGCAACTTCAACATCAAATGGAGGTTCGTGAGCTGAAAACAAATTTCTTTCAATTTCTGTTTGGGAGTATTGACGACAAGGCTAAAGTAATGAAGGGGACCAACTGGGTTCTTGAAAACCAGTATCTAATCTTAGTAGAATGGGAGGAGGGGATGACTGAAAAGCATCAACGATTCTCAGAACTGCAAATGTGGATCCAAGTAAGTAATATTCCTCTCAACTGGCTATGTACTGAAGTGGGGCTAAAGGTTGGGAAAGTGTTCTTGCGAGTCAAAACGGCCTCTGTGATCAAAGCAGGGGGGCAAAAGGGGAGCTTCTTGCGATTGCTTATTGTAGTTGATGTAACCAAACCTTTGCCCCGAGTAGCTTGCCTCAAGCTCCATGACACTTTGATTAGAGCTATATTCAAGTATAAGAAACTAGTGAATGCATGTTTTTATTGTGGTCTAATTGGCCATTTGGAGCGAGCTTGCAATAAGAAAGATGATGATATTGCTAAGGGGTGCCTAAAGGAGGGACAATATGGTGATTGGCTAAGGGCAACTGATGGCCATTATGGATATAAATCAAGTTCAGCCACCACACCAGGGAGTCACTCAGATGATCATCACACTCCAGGCAAAGAAACAAACTCTAATCCTCAAGAGGGAGATACAGGATTCAAATCAGCAGGCAGTGGAGTGAAATCAGGAATATGGAGAGAAATCAGTGTTGCTGAGAATGCAGTGCCAGGTGATAGTAATCTTATCAAGGGAAAGAAAATATGCATTGCAAATGAGAAAATAAACCTTCTCCAAGGCACAAACTCCACTATAATGCTAGCCACAGAAGCAGAAATGATGGACGTCATCCCTAAGCAGAATACTTCTAACCAGAATGACCAGAGTGATCAAGAGCCAAGCACTACTCAAAGAAGAAGGGGATGGACTAGGAAATCAACTGCTGCTGGAAACCAAAATAGCAAAATCCTCAGAAGCATTATTGAGAAAAAGGAAGTACAACCAAGAAGAAAGAAGAGAGGCCTTGTGATTGAAGAAGCTTGAGAACAAGGTACAGAAGCTGACATGAGAGATAGCAAGAAACTTAAAAATAGCTCTTTGGAGGTGGGGGTGGCCAGTCTTGAGTGGCCCTAATTGGTCGAAAAAAGTGTGTATTCTATATATTTATTAGTGTATTTTTATATGCTTAATTTTGTCGCACTTATATGTTTTTCGACTTATTTATTTCTTCAGATGGATTCTAGTGCTTTGATATATTTATGTTTTATTTTTAGGATATTAGAGTATTTTTGTGGATGACCAAGTTGTGGACTGGAGTTCAAGTAGCATTTATCGGGATGCCCGAAAACTGGATCAATTAAGGCCAATTCTGCAGTACATTAAAATAAATGGGCCCAAGATGGGTGGAGAATTACACCTAGGGCTGTAAGGATTTATTTTGCGGAGAGTATATATATTTAATTAGCTGCCACGCGAGGAAAAAAAAAGAGTATAGATACGAGAACTCCACCAATCGCGGAGGGAGGCCGCACCCGTACATGAAAGGGGATAATTCTATTCTCTTGTTTTATTATTTCTTATGTTAGAGTAGATTTTCTTTCTAGTTCCGGAAAAGTCGAACCCTACGATTGACGATGTTTTGATCGATTTACGTGGTTGATTATTGAGTTATCTTTTTTAAATTGTTTGTGCTATTTTGAATAATTAACCATGATGTGCTGAGTCTTATTTAGATTGATCACCTAGCTTAGGCTTTTCATATCTATAGCTGAATTAGACCTTCAATCCGTAATTGTTGTTGTGTTTAATTCATAAGAAGCTACCGGAAGACGGTTACTACCGGGGATAACACGGCCTAATTAAGTGAACGAACGCGGTTGAGTTCACTAATAAAAAGCGGCTAATTGTATTAAATATTGAAATCGTTTTTCTAGACTGTACAAGAAGTCAGGTTTAATCGTCGAGCGTCTTGCGGTTAAATTGAAAATAAGAAAAATTCGGGTAACAGACCGTGTCGTTACCTAGGGCTAGTAATTTCATGAGATAGCGAGATTTGATACTAAAATTGATTAGACGAGTCAGTCAAGGATGTAGACGGAATCGTGGACTAGATATTTCTCTTAAATCAAAACCCTTCATTTATCGCTTTTTTTTTATAATTTCAATTATTACAAGAAAATTCACAATTTGTTTCACACTCTCTGTGGGTTCGACCCTTGCTCACTACTACTAGTAGTTGATAGAAGTTGGTTAAGGAAAATATAAATATAATTTTGCCGCGTTGCAACGCACGGTCAAATTTTGGCCCCGTTGCCGGGGAGTGGCGTTATAGAATTGTGATTTTTTAGTACTAATTGAGTTTGTTTTAGGATTTTATTTTAATCATCTTTTACCCCTTTCTTTTTTCTTGTTTTTTTTTTTTTTCTNTACTGGGTGCCTCCATACTCTGCTGGACAGAATAGTTCGCCCCCACACTCGCGTGATTGACTAATTTTTGGGCGATTTTTGCGAGCTTTGAGCAACTTTTCGAGATGGCAGCCTATTATCACGACTTTTATACCCACCGTTCACCTTACCAGTATGAGAGGGAGATACAAGGCCTGTGGATTGGAGATCGAGATGTAAGAGGACCTAGTGGTTGGCGAAGATACGAGCAAGACTACATATATCCCGAGGAGAACGAGTACGGCTTGAGAGAGCACTCGAACTCTTTCCATAGGTACTCCGAGCCACCAATTGCACGAGATCCCAGCCCATCGCTAGAGGATATGGTGAAGGCACTAGAGGCTCACACGTTGAAATTTCGACAAGAGTCCTGCGAACCATTAGTTGAGAGAGATCCTGGTCCATCGCTTGAGGATATGATGAAGGAGTTGATGGCTCACACCCTTAACTTTCAGCAAGGTGTTGAGGCGAGCATCCCAAGAGGCGAGCATCATGAACCAAAGAGTGCGCATAAGGAATTTACAAGGGCAAATGAGCCAATTGGTGGAACAGATGGATCAACTAGTGTGTCGGCTCGAAACGAGTCCAATGAGTTCGAGCGTCATCCATTCGTACAACGAGGACCTCGAGGAACTTGAAGAGAGCACACACGAGCCAGAGAATGAGAAAATTACGAATATCGAGAAGAATGAGAGCGAAAAAGAGAACCAAGCTGCAGAAAATGGGGCTGAGCAGCAGAATACGGGGGTACCCCATACTCGTGGTGCTGTAGCCAAAAAGCGTACCGTTCTTCCCGTTCTTGTGCCGATAGAATCTGAACTGTGTCCTATGTATTCTAATATGAAGTGGGTGTTGAGCAAGGATGCACTGAAGCATGTCTTGGGGCCTTCATATACCTCCTTCTGAGACGATCGAGACAAACGTAAGGCGCAAATGGGAATTTGATGAGATGGTTGCCATGATTGAGCGCGGGCTACTGCATATCCATGAGAAATTAGCGTCATGGAGGAAAGATCCAGTGAAGCACCCAACACCGAGGATAGAAGATGCCGCCAAACATGGCGTGGTGAGATTGATGCCTCCCTTGAGGCCACCTCGAAAGCCGCCATGGACCTTTTGAGAAAAGAAAGCAATAAGTCGGGCCAACGACAATAAAAAGAGGCGCTTGTTGGGAGGCAACCCAATGGTGTGCATGGTTCGGCGACCTTCCTCTGCATTGACTAAGGTAAACTCGTTTCTTTTACCTTTGTTTTTGTTCTTTTGTGTTGTTATAGTGTCGATGATATATGTAAGCTCTAAGTTTGGGGAGGTGGTTTCTTGGTGAGCATTCATGTTTATCATGTGATTATATTTTTGCCCCCTTAGAGTTTGAGTTCTTAGATTATGAGCATAAGATTGCATGTACGTGGAATTTTGCGATGATGACATGAGAGTCAGTTTGAATTTATTGTGCTAGTTTAAATGGCTTGGGTTAATTATATTTAGTTAAATTCTTGAGATGTTTTATTTTGGGGACAAAGACATGATGGTTGATATTTTTGTTATTTATTTGTGGTGAGTTGGGTGCTTCACTGGATTGTAGAGGGTTGGGTGGTCCCTATGCAATTTCACAACTAAAGGAGGCCTCAAGGCTCCACCACCCAGATTTTGTTTTCCTCTCAGAAACAAAAAAAACCAAATAATTTTATTAAATCAGTCTGTAATAAAATAGGTTTTAGGGATAGATGGTTTGCAGTAGAACCTCAAGGTCTCAGTGGGGGGCTGCTTGTTTTATGGAATAGGGATGTTGCTATTAAGCAGATTTTGAGTAACTCTTTTTGTATTCAATTGCAAATTGGTGACCCTGGGGGTGATGGGGATGTGTGGGTGATTTTCATGTATGCTAGCACATGTAAGAGGGAGAGATGTTTGAAATGGCAATTTCTTGAAAATGCTAGCAGTAGATGGGGGATTGGAATGAGATTTGTGATCATAGTGAGAAGAGTGGGGGTAGAAGAAAGGCTGAGAGAGAATTCATTGATTTTAATGCTTTTATTTCTAGAATGGGTATGCAGGAGCTTCACCAAATTGGCCACAGATTTACATGGGGCAACGACGGGGAAGCTGAAGGATTTATTGAGGAAAAGATAGATAAAATCTTTGCCTCCTTTGATTGGCTTGAAGATAACCAACATACAATGGTGGAGAACTTTTTTAAGAGTGCCTCTGACCATAGGCTCCTGCTACTATCTGACAACCCCCAAAACAGCAGAGTTAAAGGAAGAAGATTCTATTTTGACAAAAGTTGGCTGAAAAGGGAGGGCATTCAAGGCACTCCAATGTTTCAATTCTATGAAAAGCTCAAAGCTACCAGAATGGCTTTATTGAAATGGAGTTCTACTTTTAGAAGGGAGCAGATCATAGAGAAACAGCTTATCACTCAAAGACTAGGAGAGATGAGTACGTTGGGAAATCACAGAGATTGGGCAGAGTGGCAAAGGTTGCTTGGAGAGCTAAACAAAATTACTAGAGCTGAAGAGACATTTTGGGCTCAAAAAGCTAGATCCCAATGGCTCAAGGAAGGAGATTCCAACACCAAGTACTTTCATGCCATTACAATGCAAAGAAGAAAGGTGAATGAAATCTTTAACTTGATGGATGATCAGAATCATGTGTACTCCAATGAAGAAGACATTCAACTCCGTATCTGCAGATTCTATGAGCAACTGTTTAGTTCTGAAGGTTCATCAGGTGATGATGAACTAATACAGCTCATCCCTCAGAATATAACTGCTGACATGAATATTGCACTCACTGCCCCAATCACAAAGGAGGAAATTAAAGAAGCACTTTTCAGCTTTGATCCAGGTAAAGCACCTGGACAAGATGGTAAGAGCCCACTATTTTTTTAAAAAGTTTGGACTGTGATCTGTGATGACTTTTGTAAAGCCATCTTTAGCTTCTTTGAGTCTGGTAAGCTCCTCAGGAGCTAGAACCACACTGGCATCTCACTAATTCCAAAGTGTCTGAATCCTGCAACTTTGAAGCATTACAGGCCCATCAGTTTGTGTGCAGTGGCCTACAGAGTTATTGCCAAGATATTGTCTCTGAGAATAAAACCCTGCCTCTCTTCCTGCATCAGTGAGAATCAGGCTACCTTCATCCCAGGAAGGCAGCTGCTAGATAATGTTGTCATTGCCCAAGAAAGTGTCCACTTCCTCAACAGACACACCTCAGGAAGAAATGCTACATGCTTCTGAAGCTGGGCATGGAAAAGGCCTTTGACCGCATTGAGTGGGAAAGTGTCAAGAAAGTAATGCTTAAAATGGGTGTTCACCCTACATTTGTCAACTGGATTTAAGCCTGCATCTCCTCCACTTTTTTCTCTTTCAACATATATGGGGATATGAAAGGTTACATCTCAGCATCTATGGGCATCATGCAAGGTGATCCCATTACACCATATATTTTCATTATTATTTCTGAGGTATTTTCTAGACTTATCAAAAATGAGGAGAGAAAGGGATCTTTTATGGGGCTGAAAATAGCAAAGCATAGTCCTGCTGTTTCTCACTTGATGTTTGTAGATGACACCTTAATCATGTGTGAAGCAAATGAAACTCATGCCTCAGTCCTTATGTCTCTGCTGCTGAAGTATTACAAATTCACTGGTTAAAAGGTAAATATGAGGAAATCTTCCATCTTCTTTAGCAGAAATTGTCAATCTGCTCAAAAAGCTATCATTTGTCACATGTTGGGAGATATTCAGCCTCATAGATCTACCAGATACCTAGGCTTACCATTAGGTAATTGTAGATCTAAAAAAGAATCCTTTGACTACATTCTGAAGGCAGTAAGAGATAAACTGGTGAGCTGGAAAAATCAATTCCTTTCAAATGCTGGCAAAGAGATATTAGTGAAAGTTGTCATTGGATCACTTCCAGTGTTCTCAATGTCCTGTTTCTGCCTCCCAAAGGGTGTTTGTCAAGAGATAGCTAGATTATCAGCTTGTTTCTGATGGGGTGAGGGGGATTTGCTGAAGGGAATTCATTGGAAGAAATGGTCTTTGCTGACTTTACCTAAAGATGTTGGTGGTCTGGGATTTAGGGAAGTGGAGTTGTTCAATGAATCTCTCATTCTCAAACAAATATGAAGAGTGGCTACACATCCAAATCTTCTCATGACCAAAGTGCTAAAAGGTAAATAATTTCATGATTGCTCCATCTTGCAAGCCAAGAAACCATATAATGTCTCTTGGCTTTGGAGTAATTGGATTGTGGTGAAGGATAAATTCAAGGATTGTTTTAGGGTGGAGGTGAGACAAGGCAGATTTATCAGTATTTGGCATGATCCATGGATTTCAGGCACAACAGGGGGACTTCCTGTTAGAAATGAAGTAGGCATGAGCAGAGTAACTCTGGTTAAAGAACTTATTCAAGAAGATAGGAGGTCTTGGAACAGAAACTTGCTACTTGAATGTTTTAATCCATCAGATGTTGAAGCAATCCTAAACATGACATCTCTGAACCATACTATGGCTGATAAATGGATGTGGAGGTTAGATGTAGAAGGTCAGTTTTCTGTTGCAAGGTCTTATTTTCACTTGGTGTTGAATAAACTGAGAGATTAGATATGGCTGAGGGCAGTGACACTGCTCAAAGAGACAAGAAGATCAGAAATAGGAGCTGGATTATCAAAGTTAAACATAAGCTTAAACATTTCATCTGGAAATGTTATAATAACTCTCTTCCTGTTTGCCTAATCTGAAAAGAAGGGGGCTTGAGGTTGATCCTAGATGTTGTGCTTGTGGTGAAGAGAAGAAATCTATTGAGCTTATTCTGCTGCACTATGATAGAGCCAAAAGAGTTTGGCTTTAGCCCCTGTTCAATGGAATGCAGCCACTTACTATGAATCCTTTAGACTTTGGTGGAGCAATGTTTGTTCTGAGGACAAAAAAGAGATCTCAGAGACCAGAATTGAGCTGACTACTTATATACTATGGTGGCTTTGGAAAGCCCAGAATCTTTGGAAGTTTGAGGAAGTTTGGCTGCCAGAAAGAGTACAACTTGGAGCTGCTCATAGTAAATGGTTGGAATTCAAGAACTGCAAGCTTATGGCTGAGTATCAATGAAGGAAATGGAAGCACTAGGTCCTTAGTTGGTTCAGTAGTGTTCTTTTTTCTTTGTTCATTATTAGTTAGCTCTATTTGCATTAGTTTATAGCTGGTTAATGTGCAGCGAAGGGACTTCGGCTTGTCTGCCCTTTATCTGATCTTTCATTTGTTTGGAATTGTTGTCTAGGATCTGTGCTTATTGTTGTTGGGATTGTTGTTTGGTGTCTAGACCTCTTGCAAGGTTTTTTGAACACTCTCGAATGATTTTTTCTTGTTTGCTAATTATTTTTGTACCTTTGTTTACGAATGAAATGCCTAACGTTTTGAAAAAAAAAAATCATGTCTACACATATGAGAAAAATAAATTAATCATCAAGAATCACAGGATGCAAACCCTTGGGGACGAGAAAACAAGAGAACATAACTAAACAAAATTACAAGGAAAAAGAAAATACACACAACATAGAGAACAACCAGTTAAATTCATAAGTGATAAAACTCAAAATGATCTTATTTCTCTTCTTACGTCCTTTGTGGTTCCAAAGGCAACTTACCACAGTTGCCAAAAAATGGTCCATAAAACCAAACCCACCGAAAAAACACACCAACATAAACCCAAAATCCAATCTTTATCCCATGTTTTCCACCTTCAATCGAAAACCAAACGGAATTAAACCTAATCTTCCAATCGAAGTATCATGTCCGACAATAACACTTAACCACAACAAACCATGTGCGTCACAACCCACAAATATCAAAAATATCCACCATTCCCAAATTCCTCCATTTTCTCCTCTTTCAACCATAACCAGCCCAGTCCAAACCTTGCCCAAAATCCATTCCCACTCCGTTTGCATCATTATTTGCCCCAGCACCAACCCTAACGGCTCAAGTAGGGACACTAGAGCATGACCTTGCCGGATTTTCCGATCTGAAATCGCTTTCTCTTGTTTGCGGTATAGATAATTGATTTTTAGTTGAGAAACCCGACCATGTATAAGAGAGAAATAACTAGTACGGATTGAAGGAAATCAAATAGTTCCAACTAGAATGTGGAGAAAAGAGAGATCTGGAAAAGAGACGAAAGGATTTTCTGCATTTTTGCACTGAAACTCGGATATGTTTTCCCCGAGACAGTATAAAGTAGATGCACGAACTGAATTTTTGAAAGATTTTCAAGAAATTGATATTTGGAGAAAGTTCAACTTCATCACGATATACAAGGGTTTATGGCCCAAATTAGTCCGTATAACTCCAAACAAGAGCATTAGTGTCAAATGCAAGTGTTAGGGAGGAGGTGAAAGTACCTTGGAATGTGAAAGATGTTGGAGCACAAGTGAACGAGAGAAATAAGCGCCGGAGCTCGACCTTAAACCGTGCCTATGAATAAGAAGATGGTCGACGCCGTCCGAGGAAAAAACGGACGGATCGGGTAAAAAGTCTTGAGAAAGATTATGATAATTGCATATTGACCTCGATGGGACATCTCTCTCTCTCTCTCTCTCTCTCTCTCTCTCTCTCTCTCTCTCTTTCTAATACATTTTTGTACAAAAATCCCAAAGCCATTATTTATAAATAAAGAAAATCCTTCGATCAAAATAGGTTGCTCAATGAAAGAAATAAGAATACATCATAGCTATCGGATCGTATGATCCAACGGCTAAAAAAAAGCCAAATTTATACCTTCAATAAATGTAATGTAGTAAATTTCCACACATCAAACAATGGGACCCACCACACATCATCTCACACGTAGGCAGCTCACACCTCATCTCTGTCTCTCTCATTTACACTTTCTCTATCTCACACACACAATTATCACCCCACAAACGGACCATGCCCAAATTGCAGTTTCACGAACGGAAGCTCTGCCCGCCTCCCCGACACCTCCGGCCGCCACCCTCGTTTCCAGCTCCCTCTCCCACCTCCTGCCGCCCCTCCCTAATTGCAGTTACACAATGGAAGCTCCGCCCACCACAGGCGCTGCTCCGTCAGTCTCCGCCACCACCTACCTGATACCTCCGACCGCCGCCATTGTTTCCAGCTCCCTCTCCCACCTCTTACCGCCCCGCCCTAATTTCAGTTACATGAACGAAAGCTCCGCCCACCATAACCGCCGCTCCGTCAGTCTTCGCCAATGCCTCCCCAATACCTCCGACCACCGCCCTCTTTTAAGCTCTCTCTCCCACCTCCTGCCGCCCGTCTAATTTGCAGTTACACGAACAGAAAACTCTGCCCACCACAACCGCCGCTTCGTCAGTCTCAGCCACCGCCTCCCCAACAACTCCAACCGCCGCCGTCGTTTTCAGCTCCCTCTCCCACCTCCTGCCGCCCCCCTCCACATCTCGACCCTCGTTTGCAGTTGCACGAACGTGAGCTTACAATTCTGCGGTGGTTCAGTCGACAGCGGCCGTCGAGATCGGCCAGCGACAAGAACCGAGCCTATGATACTGCAACTTGAATGCTTTCTGTTTGAGAATTAGATAAATTGGAGGGGTCTGATTATAATTTCAATAAATTTGATTAATGCCAATTTAGTCCATAGGTCAAATCTGTAATTTATAAAAAAATATTATTTTTTTAATATTTTTATGCATATATATATTATCTATTTTTAACATTAAACAAAAATATTAAATATATTCTTATAATATAACGAATAAAAATTTTATTTATTTAGGTTAATTGTATTAACCAATCGAACAAAAGAATTATTTCGATTCGGTTTAAATTTGGATTTGCACATTAGAAAACCCGTGTTATAAAGAGAATGCACAATAATATTAATCGTGATGCACAGTCGTGTCTGACGTATTGCACAATAGTGTTAAAATAGATGCACATTAACGAGTTCGAGAACGCACATTAGCATAGTAGTGCAATCCGCACAATGACATGGCGTGACAAAAGAAAAAAAAAAACATTGTTATGCTACTGTGCATTTTTCACACATATATATTAAAATTTTAGTTATTTTGGTCCAGATTCGGCTTTATTTACAAAGCTAAATTATTATTTTTATATTTTATAGGTGATATAAAATGTTCAATAAAATTGTAAATATTAAATATATTTTGATTATATGCAAAATAATGCTGATTGAAATAAACGTTATTACAATTTTCTAAAAGTGAAACGCACATACAAAAATACACGCCCAATAGACGCACATTTATTAGACTGCACATTTATGTTAGACGAATTGCACATTTGTGTTCGTGGAATGCAACTTATCGATTTCTGCATTTTATATGCCTTTTAAACCATAAATAGTATATAATATTAAATATAAAAATTAAAAATATTAAAAATATTTTTTACATTATAAATAGTGACTTATTTCAATTAATGACATAGTTGGTTAACCGATCTAATAAACATAATATTTCGTTTCGATTTTAGATTGTTTTATAACAAATCATTAAAAATTCCAGCACCATGAGTGCACAATAGTGCTAGATGAAATGCACATTAATGACTATCAGATTGCACAAAATCGAATGAAACCGACCGAACTAAAATTTTTGGTTCGATTATATTTTTTTTTTGTTAGAAAATCGATTGTTTCTGTTCGATGTCATCTATCGTCCGAACTTCATTAATAATAATAATAATAATAATAATAATAATTTATGAGATGATAGAACATGACAAAAGCTAGACCGAGAACTGTTTCACGCAGAAATATACGTATTATTATTATTATTATTATTATTATTATTATTATTAATTTATATATCTTTATGTATTGCAAGTGCACAATAAATTTAGACGACTTGCACATTAATGACTATCAGATTTTAAAATAGCGATCGACACCGACTAAATAAAAAATTTTGGATTGGAAATTTATATTTCGATTCAATTGTCTATTTTTAAGGGTGGTTTTTTTTAATAACTGAAATAATCGAACCGACTGAATGTTATTTTTAAACAAATATTTTTAAATAACTGGAATAACTGAAATTGTCGACTTTATTTTTTAAACATTTACTTAACAAAATTGTGGCTTTATTGAGTTTCTAATAATTTCGTGTAAGTATTGTGCAATTTATTTATCAGTATTGTGCATAACTAAATTTTAATAAATTACAAGTTTAATCTAAGAACTAAATTGCATTATAGTTCTATTTTCTTAATTTGCACATAAGCCCTTGACACTTGTCCAATTCTCAAATAAAGTCCCTCATCCCTTCACTACACACTATGCAATAATAATATACAAACTAAAAGGTTTGACTGAAAATCGAAATCCCGAACTGGACAAACTAAATAAAAAGATTGATTTGTTTTTTTTATAAAATATACACATATTTATTACTTTTCAACAATATATATATATTTAATGAATAAAAATGTTAAAGATGAACATGTTTTTATAATAATAATAATATTTTTATTTTGGTTATTATGACTAATTCGGTTAACTGACTGAGTAAATATAATAAATCAGTTGTACGTTATAAAACAATACGTTGCACTTTATCACCACGATCCACAGTTAACGTCTCCTGCCAAAATCTACACAACATAAATCATAAAAACGGATGTACGTAATACTTTAAACATCAATCACATCAGTTATCCATACAAAACACAAGCATGGTAACGTACTAAAATTACACTAGTTCACTTTATGCATCAACACGTTGCACTTTACAGAACAACGCGCTACACATTATCATGACTATCATATTGTACAAAAGAGATCGAAACCAACTTACCACAAATTGTTTTCAACCAAAAATAATATAAAAATAATAAATAAGAATATTAACATATTAAACATAATTTTTATATTAAAAAGTGAACAACCGACCGATATAAAACTTTCATTTCGAAGTTTTATATTTCTGTTCGATTATCTATTTTTAATTTTAAAAAATTCGATTTGGTTCGATGTCGTCTTTATTTTATAAAATACCTTAAATAACCAAACCGACAAAATTATATAATTATATATGTATATAATATTTTTTATCATCCAAGTATAATATAAAATATTAAGTAAATATATTAAAAATACTAATTATCTTTATAATATAAATAATAAACTATTACAATTATTAAAGTTAATTCAGTTAATTGCACAAATAAATTGATTATTTTGATTTAGTTTTAGTATGATTCGAGTCAAATTATTAAAAAAAATGTATGATTTAATCAATATGTTATAATCGCAAAATAGTGTTAGACGAATTGCACATTAATGACTAACAGAATGCACCACAGCGAATGAAATTGGGAAAAAGAAAATGGTTTTATTTTCTTTTTCCTCACAATTTTGGCTTGGTTATTTTAGGTTATATTGTGTCGTAGGGCTCAACAGAACATACATTGTGCATTTTGTGCGCGTTTGACATATATATATAGTTATTTATAATATAAACAATAAACTATTGTGCATTTTACATAATGTTATATTGTGCAAATATTCATCATGTTTACCAATTCAAATGCAACAACATATCAAATTTAAAGAATTGCAAATAGATCTTCCATATAGGTCTAATTTCCAATAATAGAACCCAAATCAAAGTATCCAAATCTAAATCTAATTTCCAACTACAGAACCCATCTCAAAAAATCCAAATCTGAGAACCCAACTAAAAAATTCCAAATCTGAAAACTGCACATCCCGACCGTCTCTTCTGGACGGCGGCGCCGCCGTCTTCTTCTCTCCTGTCGGTCTCCCCCGATGACATGGAGGCCGCCGCCGTGAAGGTACGCTTGTCAAGTAGAGTTCATAGAGTGATTTTGCGGTCCCGAGGAAGCGGCATTTCTCCGAGATGTGGGCCGGATCTGGTGTCGACGACAAGCTCCGACGGTGGTGGCGGGGTAGTTGACGGGCGTCTGGCTAGTAGGTGACGATGGTGGCAGGCTGTGGCGAATGCGTGGATGATGTTGCCGACGACATGTGACCGGCAACGCTTGAGCTGGCGGTGCTTTGATGGACGGGCGACATAGCTTTTACAGCCAGGGGACGGGGCGATAAAGTGAATGGCGATGCTTGCGGCAAGAGGTCTCCACGTCGACGACAACAGGTTGGTGGCAGCTGCGACGTGAATGGCGATGCTTGTGGCTGCTCGGTTGGCGTCCGACGGCGTGGTCGACATCCGGCGGCTGCTCCGTCGAGTTTGTGTTTGTGCATCGCGTGAAGTTTTGTGTGTGTGTTGTGTCTGCGTATGTGTGTGTGTGTGAGAGAGAGAGAGAGAGAGAGAGGAAGAAGATGATGGTAGGGGTAGGTGGGGTGGTTCCAATTTATCATATGTTGATATTAATGTGTGTAGTGGTGGGTCTCATTGGAATGTTGGTTTTGAACTAAATGTCTAATTATTGGTCAAATGTACATATTCACAATATGATCAAATAATTACCAGACTGCCATTAATGATTGACCATAGTTTGACTTCATCACAATCATTAATATGATTAATCTCATGGTCCAGATTTATTCTCATTTCTTTCACTATCTATCATTCTCATATGATCCCTTATATATATATATATATAGAAATTGGTTCAAATGAGAAAGAAAGATAGTGAAAGAAATAAGAATAAATCTGGATCATTAGATATATCATATCAATGGTCATGATCAAGTCAAAATTTGGTCAATCATTAATGGCAATATAGTAAATTAACATACACATTGTGGTCAAATGTGCATATTGACTACTCAATAAGGGCAAATCAGTCATTACACACTAACATACCAACCCTAATGTTTATACCCCCCACACACACACAAACTCACACACGCACACACGCACACACTCAGCACACGCACACACACACACACACAGAAGACCAGGCCGCCAGGTACTGCCGTCGTGCTTCCGCCGGCTTCAACTGTACCTCCGACGCGTCTCCGCCGTTCCTCCGCCACCCGCCAGGGACTGCCGCGATTCAGGAGATTACTCCGGTTGTGCCTCTGCCGTGCATCGGAGCGTGCCTCTGTCGTGCATCGGAGTGTGCCTCTGCCGTGCATCAGAGCGTGCCTCCGCCGTGTCGCCGTCCTGGTCTTCATCGTGGTTGCGGTCTCCGGTGTCGCCCTTCGGCCGCCGCTTCGAATCTGACTGGGCGGCGCTCCGCCGCATCTGAAAATCCGACCTCCACTATAGCTACTCCCGTCTCCTTCTCCGCAGGAGGCTCCGGCGAGAAGCCTTACGAGGTGGAGGCTCAGGCTCAATCGTGGTTCACGTCACGGGTTGTATGGCGGCGGTTGGGGCGGGATGACGGTGACGCCGACGGCTGATTGACGGTGGCGGTGAAATTGGGGCTGAGATTGGGCGGGATGAGTCGCGCTTCATTGTTTTGGGGTGCCTTTTTGGGAAATTAGATCTATTTAGGGGGGTATTTTACAATTTTTTGAA